AATAAAAAAAAAGGTAAAAAAAAAAAAAAAAAAAGGTGGTCTTATGGTTGACTCAAATAGTGAGTTGAGAACCAAACTCCCACCTTGCCCCACTGGAGGACCCTAAGAATCTGCAGAACATAGTTTGAAAACCCCTGATCTAGTGTGTCTCCGCTAATTTTTTAGGCAAGGAAATTGCAGCCCACAGAGTGGGACTGAAACACGGAGGGCCACAAAGCTCTCTGGAAGTAGAGCAGGGGCTGGAATCATTGTCGTGTGATTTCAATCCAGGCTTTTTTCTACTGTCCAGCCCTCCCCACCCCCAACTTCGGGGCCATTCATCTGTTTACCGCTGACCCATTTATCTTGTCTCTCTGGTCAAAAAAGAAAAAAAAAAAGCTCTGGCTTTTATGGCTTTAAAAATATATAAATAGAAGCATTTCACACATAGAAGATAAGATTCAAAATGCAACAAGAATGAACCCGTTTGGGTTCATTTCTCCTATTTTTTTTTTTTCAGCTGAAAAGCCAGAAATTATAAGTGTTGTGAAAGCAACACAATCATGCGAACACTTCTGGTACAATACGGCAAAATTAAGAAATGAATCGGTTCCAGGAACTTAAAGATATCAGGAAAATGAGCATAGCAGGGTATCAACGCAAAGACACATTTCCCCAGGCTGTCAGCTTTTCCAGTTCCCTTAATCTGATGGGAAAAGATAGGGTGTACCTCCATGTCCCCAGTGAGGAAATGAAAGCATGGAGAGGTTACGAAAACACCCAGGTTAGCATGGGAGCCAGAACTAAAATCCACCAGAAGAATGCGAGAAGGGAGGAGGAAACGTAGAAAAATATGGCCTCATATTTTTACAGCGTTCACAGGTCTCAGATCACTTTTATGCACATCTTTTCATCTGGGCATTGCCATTGCAAGAGGTTGGAAAATAATTCTATGTTATATTACTAGCTTTGTGATTTAAATCACAGGGCCTGGAGTCAGACATTCCCAGTTCAAATGGCAGAACTTACCACTTACCTGCTGTGTGATCCTCAGGTGAAGTCACAACCTCTCTGCGAATCAGTTTCCCTCTTTAAAAAAATGAAGAAATCACAATCCCCACTTCCTATGAGTAGGGCGATCCGTAAGTAAAACAAAGTGTGTAACGCGTTGGTACAGTACTTAGGACACAGTAAGCACTCAGTAGATATTGCTGCTCGCCATTATGAAAAGACTGACATCAGACCAAGGGGAGCCAGTTTTCTGCTCAAATTCCTCCCGCACCTCACTCAGCAGATGTTTGTGGCTTTTATATAGTCATGTTGGACTGTTTCTCACACTCAGTAATGTCTCATCCAGAAGAGTTCAGGAGGACAAGGTCTTTTCTGACTCTTCTTTGGAAGAGCGAGTCAATTTCATAATTGGGTGATTGTGCCCTCGTGTGGCAAGTCACGGGTACAGCTTTTTATCTGTAACAAGAAAAATGACCAGATGGTCTCTGGGCTCTGTTCAGAAGACCCCACTTTACAAGTGGGTCTCTGTCTCCAAAGGGAGTTCTAGAACTAATCATGCATCCTCCCTTGCCATGATAAACAGGTTAAGAGCCAGTCAAATCAAAAGCTTATTAAATCATGGTGTACTGTAATAGTCTCGGGTTCCTCCCCTGTAAATAATAATGTTTCACGTTATGTTCTAAGACTATCAAGTTATTTGAGGTTTCCCCACACAATGCTTTTCTTTCCCTTACTGTCTCCTCTATTTGAATTTCCTTACTCAGGACCCCTCCTCTCCACGTGATTTCTACTCATCCATCAAAACCCTCTTCAAAGGCCATCTCCCTCAACAACCTCCCCAGACTGGATTAATCTAGTTGACACTCCCTGACTCGCACACACTTTGCATTTTCTCTGCAAATCCCTATTATGAGCAATTTTTCTCAGCAATAAGCAATTTGGACTAGTGTAAGCTCCATGAGGACAGGGGCGTTTTTGTTCCATAGACATGGCCTTGGCATTTACAGCAGTGTCTGCTACCTAGTGGGTGTTCAAAAGTACACGTTGCATGCGTAAATTGCTCAGTTACATATTTCTCCTTTCCAGCTCCCTTGGGACCACCTGGACTACAGTACAAGCACTTTCACCCCCCAGTTAGAGTCATAAATGTTATTCACTGAAATACACAGCTACCCACCCACCAAACACTGAGCCTGGGTTTACACATGGACTTGGTGATCTCCTGTCTGCTTTCTAATGCCTGTCCACCTGAATCTCCTGTGAGCCCAGAGGAGTCCACACATTCATCATGAGCTGCTGTGTTAGGCAGGTCTCGGTTTCCCCAGCACGATGGCCCCGTCGATAGGGTTCCTTCTCCTCATACTTGGAGCATGGTCTGAATCTTGGGGGCTGGCAGCAAACCCTGTCCTATTTGTCCCAGACGAATGGCTACCCCTCCACTTCTGTCAGCCAACATCCCCTGTGACTGTTATGTACTCAGCTACATTCTCACCTTCTGAATACCTGTGACATCTTCCCAAGATGCATAGCAGTCTCTCTACCCACGACTCAAGCCCAGACACATCCTTCCACCTGACTCTGAGCGTAGAGGAGATCTGAGCTTGTTTGATAGGTGAATTCTTCTGTTCCTGTCACCTGGGTGCCCTGGGGCAGGCTGAACAGATGGAAAAGTGTGACTCAATCCAGGCTGAAAATGATGCTGAGCCCGGGAGGGGGCTGATCCCTGCAGCTCTGGTCAGACTCAGCCTGTGAGCTATGGGCAGAACACATCTTTGTGGAGGAGAGGTTCCCTCCATCAAATAGTCATGCGGGTGTTGGATATGGGCCCCACCACGACTGTGGTGCTGGAACAGATTCCCCCCAACCCCACCCCCGCCAAGCAGCTGATCTCCCACCCTCCCCATGCATTTGGTTTCCAAGTAAAGAAAAATCACTGTGGAAATGCTCATGTTTCCTCTCTATCCAATGCATCACTCAAGAAAAGCCCTATGTGTTTTTCTGCGGAAGATTTTTGTTTTGCATCAATACTCATGATCACTTGACAGACTTTGATTAAATGTCCCCTGTGTGTCAGACACAAAAGTTTCTGTGGCCTCAAAATAAGCTACCAGTGAGACTCACGAAGTCCTTTGGGGACTATAGCCTTCAATGTATAAGAGAAAATCTTCTTCATTCTATGGTCCCCTCCCATGCACTGCTGGGGCCATCATCCTACAATGCACTGGTCAAGAGATGTCAAAATGACAAAAGTGCATTCCTGTTGGATCTCCAACCCTATTTACAGTATTTCTCTAAGAAAAATAACTACGCAAGTACAAAATCTATTCACAGGGTGTATATCAATGAAGCTGAAAATAGCCAAAAAGAAAAATAAAATAATGTAGATGTCAACCCATAGGAGAGTGGTTAAGTAAATTA